CTCCCCAACCACAAGACACCACCACAGCAGGGAGGGGGAAGCAACCCACAACCACCCCACACCACAGGGAGGGGGAGGAGGAACCATTGGGGGGGGGAGGGGGGGGGGGCCGGCCGAACCGGGATCATATATGCATATATACGTATATATATATATATATATGTATGTATGTATGTATGTATGTATGTATGTATGTATGTATATGTATACATACATATATATATATATACATATTATATGCACGCACACACTTCTGTGCGTAGGAAAATGCACACCTGCTAGATCCCCGCCTCGACAACTTTGGGTAGGCGATGTCGAAGCTTGGATGGCGAGCAGCTCTGGTTTCAGGTAGGGTTGAGGCTTCAGGCTTTAGAGCTTCCTGGGGGTGTAGTGTTTAGGGTTTCAGGGTTTAGGGCCCAAGGGTTCGATCATTTCAGATTGGCTAATGGACTTGGTGAGACCGGAAAGTTTCATCCTATGGCCATCGTTTTCAGAGCTGACTTGTAGCCCAAGATGCGCCCTTCACCACGGAGCCGATTGCTATTCCCAGTCATGGTACAGTCGAGCTGGATTCTCCTTGTGGCTGTTATTTGCATTGTCTGTCAGAGTCTACAGGGATGCGCAGGGGAAGGAGATTCCACTGGTTCTACGTCGTCCACGAGCACCAGCACATCGTCTTCCACAACGACCACAATCTCAACGTCCACCACGCCATCACCACCCCTGACACCCAAAGCACTTGAAGCTGCATGCCCCGCGGTGGTTGCAGCTTGCAAACAGGAGACGACTCTGTGTGATCCGGCGTGGGCGTGTATGGAAAGCAAGATGCACACATGCCAGGATGGTGGTGAGTGCATTCAGGACGCGGCGAAAGTTGGAGTTAGCCCGGCCTTAAACAACCTTGCTGGCTGCTTGGAGCATGCCTGCGAAGGAAGTACCACATCATCGAGCTCGGCATCAACAACAACGACGACAACGACAAAAGCCAGTTCGCGCCCTATGACGGAGCAGGAGATGGAAAAGTCTTGCCCCGGATTTGTGGACAACACATGCAAGGAAGACAAAGTGTGCAAAGACATTTGGCTGTGCATGTCCTTATCGATGAAGACATGCGAAGATGGCAGTGAGTGCATCCAACGGACCATTTCCATACTGCCTCCGACACCCGCGGCTGAAGAAATTGGCGCTTGCCTGCAGAAGGCGTGCACTGAAGGAAGCTCCACGTCAACTTCGACTCCGGCCATGACAACCACGCAGGATTCTCGACCCATCCTCAGCAAGGATGTGTCAGCAGCGTGTCCAGGCTTCATTGACCAAACGTGCAGCCCCGATTCCACATGTGCCGGCGCATGGAAGTGCATGGGCTCGATGAAGACATGTCAACAAGGCGGCCAGTGCATTGAGCAGGCGGCGAAGATTGGCACAACCTCCGCACTTGAGGAGTTAGCCGCATGTTTGGAGAAGGCCTGTACACCGACTGAGGCTGGCAGAATCAAGGTTGTTGTTTGATGTTTCACTGCTTACGGAGGCTATGGTGCCGGTGGCCACTTGGGCCCGGACGGCTTTCCAGAATGGAAAATTATCAATATATCATGCTCGGCTGGAACATAGATATAATTATAAAAATTCTATCCAATAAACAGAGATTATATTAACTTCTTTCTCTAATTCTCGATTTCAATTTATTTTTAGAAATATGATTGATTTTGGATTTACTTGATTTTCTCATAATAATGAAAAGAAATTCGAGGAATATTAATTTCTTGATACTTAGAAAATACTTTTATAATTTTTATTTCTAGTATTTATTGATTAATAAATTCTATGATTTATTTGAGATGAGATTAAAATTATCGTATATTGGATATGAAATAGGTGGTTATCGAAAATGGTAAATATTGTCGTTGATTTTATATTTCGAAAAAAAAATAATTTTTGTATAAGGATATTGATCTTTTTTCTAGAATTTATATAAATTAATGAAATTATTATATATTTGATTTCTAACTTGATTTTAGATATATTTTTTTTCTAGAGATTTCTTATATATTTATGTCGTAGAATTCAAATATTCGAAATTCTATTTTAAATTTGATTAATAGCTATAATAAATAGATTCTGGCCAATACTTAGAATTCATGATACGGAATTTGAAACAAGAAGAATTCAATATTCGAAATTTGGTCGAAATTCACAACCTTGGGAACTATATTATGAAATCTCATTTTTTCACATGATTTGAGAGATATCATATCTATAAATTTCTTGAAAATTTGCACATTATAAAATTCTATAAAATTAAAGAATTCTGAATATTTCATAGCATGAAAAAGAATCCTTCTTATTATCTACTCACTTTATTCATTTCTGAATACCATATCGCTTCATAAGATGAGCATCGCAACGACCCGTCTATCCTATAGTAATTTTAATCATCATCCCTTAGTATCTAATGTCGAAAACCACGTAGCGAAAGCCACCCATTGCTTCTTGAAAAAAAGATCTTGATTTATAAGCTATAACTTCTTCTTTATTATTGATCCTCTATTACTCAATTTCCAAGCTCGGAATTGGTGCCGCCCTCTGAATTTGACATCAATTGATATCAAATAAAATTATGATATATAAGATTATCTAGGATCTCGGCGGACAGAATTCCCAATATCTCTTCAAATTAGGAAGGATATATTAGTTATCCGACCATTATAAGATCGAGCTGGTAGATCACAAGAGCTTTTCATAATTTTTCTTTTTATGAAAGCAGAGCTCATTAAATAGTTTTTATATTTTATATTCAATATTAGATATAAGGTGCCGCTTATCAAATCTAATCAAATATTAATAATTAATTTGAAAAATAGAATAACGAAGCGGGGCTAAAAAAAATAAGAATCAGACAGAACGATATTTTAAAAAATATATAGAATAATATAGAATCCAAATTCATTCTATTTTTTTATTATATTTAGAATCAAAATATTCTCATTTCTTTAATTATCTGAAAAAATTTCGAAATAATTCAAAAAAATTTAATTGCTTATATCTTTTTTAATGAAATTATATTTTTAAATTATTATAATAGAATTTTTTATTTAATTAATTTAATAGACCTCTAAGAAAAATAATATAAAATATATCAATCAAAAAATGAAATAAAAAGATTCGTATTCAAAGAATAAAAATCTCTAAAATAAATCAGATAAATAAATTAATTTCAAATCCTTAATTTTTATAATTATT